ATTACTCGAAAGAGTATTATCGAAGAGCGAATTATTTTCTTTCGTGCTCGTCTTCTTCTCTCAAAACGAATCCGCGATTATGGGATTAAATGTTTTTTTACCTTTCGAATTGTGTATCCCTTCCTCCTCTTCTTGGTTCTGTTGTTCGTTGGGATCCCTCTCGCGAAAGAGCGGCGGATATATATTTTACGTAAACGAAAAAAAAAAAAGATGGTCTTCTTCGACGCTCTTGTGTTTCGTGATGATTATACGATAAACGATGATGTTACGTGCGACGTAGCGCTTGCGGAAAATTTCGCATTTGTTGAAAACCGTCGAGATCCGCTCGCGATTTTACTCGCCATGTATATATATATACAACGGAAAACTTTCGCCTTCGGTTTGTTATTTTGCAGGTTAATTTTTGTGCGCAAGTAAAAGTGTCTAATTTCCATCTGAAACTTTTAATTCCAGCTGCACGGCTGCCCGACACCGTTTCATTCTCGCTGAGTTTTCTTCTTCTCCCTGATTTTTTTATTCGTTTGATTTTTAAAAACTCACGTTACTTCGCGGAAGTTCTCATTAAGCTCGAAATTGCCTCCCGATTTCGCACATTGCTTTCTCTCTCTCTGGTTCTTCTCTTCTTGCAATTTCCCTTATTATATTTTTGTTTCTATTTTCCTTTCGATAGAATATTAACGTGCGCAATTCGAAGCTCGTGCGAGTCGATGCGGCCACTCGATACTACTGGCTTCGATCAGCATCCGCTCCTCCTCCCCTTTGGGTTGGATTTTGAATTCAATCGACGACAAGATCGATCTCGATTATCGGTTTCCCTCCTTGCGAAGTGTTCTCGATACACGCTCTTAATGCTCGCTGTGCGCGTTCCCCTTAATGCTCTTAACGCGCGCAGTCACGGAAGTGCGTATACCCGGGAGCGTCGTATATGTGCCCGATTATCTTCTCAAAGCGCGCGCCGAGTTACCTCGCTATATGATCACAAGATCGCGAGATTACGGCCGGATCAAAAAAGCGTCTTTCTTCACACGAGCGATCGCGTCTTCTTCTAATCCTTTTTTTTTTTTTCCGAGATACTTGATCCGACGATTTCGCGATTCGCTCTTTGAGCGCGAGATCAATCCCTGCCTACTCGGAAATATTCACTGGAAAATCTCGCGATCGATTAGTTTTCGAAGAATCGATCGGTCGCGGATCGGAGCGAGTTAATAAAAATGACGGTGACACTCTTGCGACAAACACACGCGCGCGCTGTGTGTTTCAAAGGTCCTTCTCGAGGACCGGCTTCAAGGAACAATGAACTTTCGATTCTTCGAAACACACACGAGAGAGCGTACTCCGTTTTCGCGGTGACTTCGTGTCAGGGTTCATCGACCGGTTCGATCGGGTTCTCTTTCTCCTCTATCTCTCTCTCTCTCTCTCTCTTTCTTTCCGACGCCGGGATATAATACGCGAACATATACGATATACCTTACCACACGAATGCCGCGCTCCGACTGAACGCGGTCTGAAGTTGACTGACGACGACAACGACGCCGCGCGCACTACTGCTGCTCCTAACTTCACGCCGATTTCCGTAGTCACGTGACGCGCGACTGCCCTGCTGACGCCGCGCCGGGGGGAGGGCCTGCCTTCTCTCACCTGTCGTCCATCCCAGAAAGCAGCCTTCGACACAATCAATATATATTGTCGATATTTCATATATCGCCGACTTTACACACTTTTCTCAACAAATACAACGCGCGCATCGTGCGATTTCCAAAACTCGCTTTCGCGATTTAGAGAACGAAGCTTTTCCCGCGATCTCAAGTTTTTTTTATTAACGCAGCTTTTAGTACCAAAGTTTTTTGTTTGGGAGATACTGTGTAATTATAAATATTAAAGGAGAAAGACAGAGAAAACGCGAGAGAAAGGGAGAGAAATAAGCTTGTGACGCAAAACGGTTTACATATACACGGAAAAAAAAAAAAAACTGTTTCTTTTGAAACAGGAGATTTGCTTCTCTCGCGAATTAAAATCTTTAACGTTTATTAATAAAAACGAACTTTGCGCGTCACGCAAAAGCAGCTTTTCGCAAGGGAGTAAAAATTGCAATCGGAATATTTGTTTTTTTTTTATTCACGAGCACAGTGTTTTTCTTCTCATACATCATTTTCTCCGGTCCTATATATATAACGTTCTATAATCCTTCGCGATAAGGTTGTTTTCGGTGTTACTAAAACTTTTATCAAACTCGCGATACATCTTCGCGAGAAACTTGGTTGCTCATCGCACTCGCGTATTAACGCGCGTATTACTTGTGGGTGGAGTTTCCAAATCCGCAGATAAGGAATTGCGCGCGTACGAGGGTTGAGAGAAGGGTAATAAGATAATAGATAATATCTCGGATTTATTACAATGACGTGGTGTGTAACGTATAGCTGATAATTATACTACGAGGCACGGAGAGCTGTCAGTTTTATAAAAAAAACTTTCACGCGAGTTTATTCTGTACGTTTTTTTTTTTTTTGCCGCCATCGTTCCCCCAGTTGCTCCTCCCCAACAATCCTCCTCTCTTCGCCATCAGACGCGAAAAAAAAAAAAAAACAAAAAACAAATTGACTCTCGGACAAACTTTTGTTTTTCAATCCCGGAGCAGAGATTGTAAGACGTTTTGATCGACAAAACAGAATATATAAAAACAAAGAACAAAATTGATACTCGAAATTTTGATGTACGTGATCGGGTTTCGCTAACGAGATCGTACTGTACAATATAGAATTGATTAAGTCCGGCTTTCATTCCAAAGCGGATGCAATATAATCCCGTTGGCATGTAGAACACATTCCGGTGTAATTTGATGTCGTGCCCAAGCACCATAATCCTTCTGTGCGATAGAATAGCTATTAATTATTTTCATTAGCAATAATACAAGCGCGCCCGCTCGCTTAATCCGCGCGCAAGAAAAGTTTCGGATCCGACGAATAAGAATGCGGATAGAGATATTAAATCGGATTGAAGAATAATTTTTTTAGCGAGTTTATAGAGAGAGAAAAACAAGCGGAAGCGTTCGATAATTGTTGTCACCCCTCAATTTTCTTGTCTTCGCTTCTTCTGGAAAAGTTTTTTTTTTTTTTCAACAATCTTGAAAGAAATGTAATTTTAAATTTAATTCTTGAACATTATATCCGCCGACATGATTTCTTTAACGCGAATCTTTTTACGTGTCAAATCGGACATTGCGGCGGAGAATTAAAAGATACGAGTTTACACGCGATATCCTCGCGAAGCGAAACGTTTCTCTTGCGTGCAAATCCTGTCCTTTTACATTTTCGAGTTGAATAATTGAACACACACACACACAGACACACACAGTCACGACTATTTCGAGCCAGATGCAATTCCCAGCCAGAACGGACATTTCCCTAACGAGTTTTTGTTTTTTTTTAAACTCATACCACAAGTTTAGATAAGGGCTATTTAGACAAGTTCGGGTTTGCATTTGCATCAATCATTTGTAAAATAACACGTACGTACGTAGCGTCGCTTGTTATGTTTCGATATGGTAGCCCCGGACGGCCTTTGTATGTATGTGGAAAATAAGATAACGAGAATCATCATAAAGCACATCGCACTCCCAATGATGGCGAATACAAACCGTGTTCAAAGTTTTAGATATGAAATTCTAGTTTCACGTAGATGCACGAATATATCAGTTTACAAGTAAATTGAGGACAACGTATGTACATAGTTACGTTAACAACATATATTTATATATTAATGTGAATGTATAAAACTTTTGTTGATATATTAATCAAATAAAAATGTAAATCCCAATCTTTACCGAGCAATTATCACTGGTATTTGTTAAAAAAAAAAACAATTAGATACGTAAATATTAATCATAAGAATTCTCAATGTTTCAAGTAGTTTTCAAGATTATGTTTTTAAATATTAGTTTGTTGAACTTTGTATAAGCACTTCGTTGTATATTTTTTAATAAATGTCGGTGATGTTTGTTCGGTCGTTGAGACATTTACTTTATTTATATTATATGTAAAGAAAACTTAGAGAGAGAGAAAGAGGAAAAAATAATTTTGTAATAAAATTCAAGAGCTCTTATTTATCATTCATGTTGTAACTCTAGCGAAGGACCAGAGGTTGTCATTTCCTCAAATCATCAGAAGAAACCTGAAACCGGCGCGTCGGTTCGTTCACACCCTCTGAAGTCCGTCTCAAACAAAGAGAATTCATACCGCTATCGTATCAAGAGAGATGTAATTCTGAAAAGAGAAAAAAAAAACATACTCGAATATTACATCCGCGTTCGCGTGTTATTTTTCAGTAGAACACAAACCTCGAAGGTCTTCTTCTTCAAGTTTCGCTCGGATTAATTTATACGATCGTAGATCTCTCTCGCTTTCATTTTGCAGATTAACTTATTTGCGCGCGTTACACGCGAGGTAACGATGATTGATACTCGCTCGCGCGCCATGTCCATTAAAACGAAATTACACAGTGGCGTATCTCATCGTCCTACGTTCTGTCCTTGACATCGCGTACTCTCAATTTTCCGCGACGCGCAAATAATTAGAATTTTTGGATTTAATACGCGTAGCATGTGCACACACGTATGTACGAATACAAAAAAAACGATTATATCCTCTACTCTCTACAGAGAGCGCGACTTGTGCCGCCGCGCACAAGTCTAACGCTCATGCGCAGAATCGGGTATCGCACGTATCACTCGAAGGGCGCGCGTGGTCGCCTTTTAAACCCCGAGCGGTTTTTCCGCTCGGGGTTTTCGCTCTGTTTGTTCGATCTTTATTTATCGTTTTTTTTTTCGCGCGCGAGAATTAATCCAACACTCTTTCTCTTTTAAAAAATCAATTTCTTCGAAGCTACGCACGAAGCGCCGATAAGTGTACAAGAGAGATTACCACTTCTCCCTCCTACTCTACCCTGCGTTATCCGAACTAGATACGGTCTTGATAAGAGGTTGGCAGTTGTGTCCGCAACACGAAGAGGCGCTCGTCGTCCACAATGGGATGAAGTTAGCCATGTACTGGCTCGGCTTATCGCGCGGCGCAACATACGCGATTAAATGTGATTGATGTGCTTCGCGACCGTTGTTATATACTCGTTGTTGTCAATCTTAACGTCGCAGATCTTCCCGTGGAAGAAAACAAAACCTGGAACACATCCGGTGAATTTTTCCCGTGACGGGTTAGGAGGGCGGTTCCGATCAGGTTAGGGTGAGTCTGTCCAATTGGTGCGTCAATTCCGGCAAAGTTGATTAAGCGTCGTTTGATAGTGCATCTTATCGATTTTTTTTGTTTTTGTTTTTTTTTAGTAATATCGCAGTGCGATTACGCAGACGATTCGGTCAAGTAGCGTCGACGAAGGACGACAAATGATTAACGAGACGCGATACTGCGTCTTCTTTTCGATGACAGCGGGGCGTCGCGCTTTGTTTACGTTGCGCTTTTCTCGGTGAAAATCTGTTTTTTTTTTTTTTTTTTTTTAAATTTTCTTTTTGTTCGTCCCTCGTCGCTGAATTTTGTTAAAGTTAATGCGCGATAGATTTTGTTTGGTTTCAAAGGAACGAAATTCGCACGCACCGGAAGCGAGTTTGAATTTTATGCACGATGTTTGTTCTTAAAATAACTTTTTTTTTATTGGAATTCACTGAATCGCACGGATGCGCAACGATTATAACGTGCAAAGGGCGAGGTTCGCGAAAAGTTGTAGCTACAGCACGTACATTTTGCAATAAAAAAATTACTGCTCAGTGAAAACATTGCTGTTTTTTTTTTCTAATTTGTAATTTTTTTTAGTTCTATAACGTACAAATTGCCGCACGCGAAAAATATCCACGATACCATTCGTATAAAATTATTCGCACGTAATATTTTGAGGGAAATAATAAGTTCTTTTATCAAAAATATCGCGAATGTTATTTTTTTCCGACAAAAATATCGACGCGATACATATGTATGTTGTATATACATCTATTTTTCACGATTTTATCATGTATACCAAATTATTAGCAAGATTGAATTTTGTAATTACGTACAGTCGGTGTCTCTTTGAAAAGTTTCAATGAGTTTCTCCTCTTCATATTCCGACATTCGGATACCGAAAGTTTGTTTTCGGTGGTTTACATCCCCCCCCGTTTAATTTTCATCTCATATACACAGTCTGATATAACTGAAATTAACGGACTTAATATAAATGGTCCCCAATGGACCGAACACATTTATCAAAGAAATAGTTATTAGATGTGTAACATTATCAATGTTTAATGTTTTAAAATTAGTTTTTTATATTTTTCAATATCGGTGTTTCCCTAACTTCACACAACGTATAAATACTTGCTAATTATTTTGTTTTCTTAATTTGTGACCAATGATACGTGTCCGTTGTTGGGACATTATTCTATTTTACGCTTTTGGTGTGATTGCATAGGGTTTACATTTTAAATTTTCAAAAAACAAAGGTACGATCGTTCTTTCTGCGAGTTTGCGAAATAAAGATCCCAAGACGTTCCTCTTTCGACAGAAGGAAACAAAGAAGCCAAGCTGGCGAGCTTAACGAGCTGCGTGTCGACGATGATGGACGACGAGGAACAGGAAGAGCTTCGCTGCACCGGCAGCGACGTCGAGATCGAGGAATACACCGATACCGAGGAGTCGCCATATGTCGCTTATCAGGCCGGCGGCGATAAGCTGTTTGATACCGATCGCGAGAACTGGCAGAAGCTCCGTTTCCTGGTTACTCTCGTGTCCGTTGTGATATCAGTTACCGTCCTCGTTATCAGCTACCCGCTTTATCTCGAGAGCGTCAGCGCCGTCTCCAGTGCTTACACAGGTAGAGAGAAATCAAAGAGAGAGAGAGAGAGAGGAAGAGAAAAAGGCTTTGCTCAAAATAGTTCGCGTCACTAAATCAGCGCGTGCAATTTTGAAATTAATGTGTAACGCTGAATTGAGCGGCCGCGAACAGCTCGTCGACCTGAAGAGGTTTTTGTAACACCGGGATTTAGAGATTAGAGATCTCGATTGTCAATTTCGGAGATCGGCAATTATGGCAATTTATTTGTATATACCCGAAAACATGTTTCCCATACAAACGCGCCGAGTAGCTCGTTGTGTTATCCGCTCGTCGTTGTTAAATTTGCAATTGCATCGCGATCGTGTAAACAAAAGCGTCGTGTAAACATGCACAGGAGGTTTGTAAAATGGAACCGGGAACTATATTGTCGATCGAAACTATTTGATTTTTGCGTTTGAATTCGTAGCGATTTCGAGTGTCTGTATTCCCGCAGGACTCCTCTTCACCGCCCTGTTCTCCGCATGCATTCTGGGAGTGGTGTATTTTGTCGTGGACAAGGTGTCGCCGCCGCCTCCGCTGGTACCGAACAGCATGCGGGTCAGGATACCACGTTGCGGACTTATTAAAATAAGCACCGTCTACGCCCTCTCGGGAATTCTGGTCACCCTCTCCCTCGATCAAAAGAGGGTGCTGTGTCATTTGCAAGACCCGATCAAGGGCATCACCCTCGTCTTCTCCCTCGTTTACTACTTCTTCTTTTGTCGGAAAAGTGAGTGCCTCAGTGAGTTGAAATACGATCGGCTGAGTATTCGTACGTCCCTATTTTTTTACATATTTCTAGTTTGAAGATACTTTATTATATAAGATACTTATATCGTTTTTTTTTTTTTTATTACATGTGATTTTTTCAAGTAGATCTCCGTACAGAGAGATGTTGTTGTTGCATGCGTACTTGGAAGTAAGTGTGTGTCCGGGCGTTTTCTATCGATGTTTCTTCTTCTCACGAATTTTTTCAGTGATGAGCCTGCAGCGAATATTTTCGAGCACGACTATAATAGTAGGTCTTTTTATAAGTGTCGATTACGGTCTCTGCGACGAGTTCCGTTGCCGCGGAAGGGAGGTTTCTTCGCACGCAACAGCCGCTGTGAAGGGAACGTGGGGTGTCCGGGCGATTTGGACGTTCGTTTATGTCGGCGCTCTCGCCGCATTCGCTATGTTCTTCACCATGCTCGAACAGCACTACACCACCACGGTAATTCACCAGTAAATTCGCGTTTCATTAGTTTTCATTGAATATCCCGAACGAGAATCGACAGCTTTTATTCCGAATCGTTTAACGATTAAAATTTAATTTATTTAAACGTGAAATATAAAAGACGAGTTTTTATTTCATTATTTCTTTTTTTTTTATTATTTTTTCCCATTTTTACGCAAGAGGCATTTGATTAATCGATAATAATTCGATATTGCTTTTACAAAAAAGCTTGTAACTTCGATTAAAGACAATTCCGTGTTTTTGTTTTGTTTTTGCAGTTGTTTTTCTCGTTAGTATTTTCGTTCGCGCTTTGTTTGATGGATTAGGTTACCGGTTGACAGGTTTTCGTTTTTTTTTTCCCGAGAACAATTGGTTCCCAATAGAAACGAGTGACATATTTGTGTGTGATCGCTTGTTTCCAGCAACAAAACGTGTGTCAAATGCTGACGACGCAGCACAATTCGTTTCTATATACCGTGTCCCGTTTGGTGTCTTCCCGCGATATTCGTCGACGCGGTTCCGAGGAGGAGGGCGGTCGACTGTTGCACGTGACCGATCCGGATCCGACAATAAAACCGAAAAGCTATCCCAAGCCGCCGGTGATGCAGACGCTCTTTTACATACACGTCATAGCGTTCTTCGCCATTCTGACGCTCTGCTGGCTCGACACGTTGCCCGGCATCGGCAGAGTAAGTGACACACAAAGCGGCGCCGCTTCGCTTCTTTATAATTAAAGATTTAACATTCATAACACGACTTGAAGAATAGTCTTTTTTTTATATTTTTTTCTAACGGGCATCTTACAGGGTTTGTCGCCCGTGGAACTCTATCGTACCGTCGAACAGGGACTGATGTGTCACTTCAAAGGCGGTAATTTGTGCTCGAACGTGTCCAGTCACGGATGGATTTTTTTATTCGCTTACGTCGTCTTCGCCATCTCGATCCTCAATTTTCTGTCATTGTGCGAAAGCGCGGTGTTCAGCGTGGCCACCGCGACCGTGTCTCTTCCGTTGTCCGGCATCTGGTGGAGTATTTACAGGATGGACGTTGGCTTGCACGGAGGTGAGTAATGTAAAAAAACTTACATCGACGTATTGCTAGAACGTGTTACGATAAGAAGATCTCAATATTCGCAAGAGTCGCAATTGTGCGTCTTTTTTTCTCATTTGAAGAAATTGCATTCTTTTTATTTCAAACTCAATTTGTGTTGTCTTACTCTTCGAATCTTGTATTCCATCACGAACTCATTTATATTTATGAATCCTCCGGCATGTATAATCGTATGCAAATATATCAGGATTCACTGTAACGCTTGAAGATCAATTTTCGCGATTTCCATTAATTTTACCTCCGGGTGGAATACTCGAACTCGCGGGCAAGTTTTGAGAGAAACTTTGGAAACAGGTTCAATTTCCTGGTCCCCGGGAGTGACGGGCGAGCTGATCTGCGCCCTGCTTGGTCTACCTGTGGTACTGGTCGGTCTGGGTTTGCTCATTAGGTCGCACTTCAGGGACACCCAGCTTCCCTATCAGTCTATTCAGCCGCCCGACGTCCAACCGCACGAGATCTATCACAGATGAATCCCTCTGTAGCGTGACCTCGCGACGAAATTTGTTACGAGAGCGTCGACGATGCTCCACGGACGTGAATTCCGATCGTGAAGTCCGACGAGAACGACGACGCGTCATCGTTTCCGTCAAAGCGATCGGAAACGAGTTGGCATAACGAAGTTTTACCGAGCCGAAGAATAATAATAAATGTTATTGTTGTACACATTTGACAGATATATTTTGTCGAGATATATTTCCCAGAGATTTTACTTCGACGTTCTTTTTTTTTTCGATCGCGAGGTCATCAAGGAAAAGGAACCAACACACGTGAAATCACGGGATTCCTAATTCAGCTGTGCGTCTTGCAACAACACGTGCAAGATTTGTATTGTCTCTGTGGTTGGTATGTTGGTATATTGAACGCGATTTTTATGCGCGCGCGCGTGCGTTTGTAATAAGAAAGAGCGTCCAATAAACGTCGACACATTTTGCGTAAAGAAGAAGAAAAATGAGACACAGTGCGTGGGGAAGGAAGGAGAGAACGATCAATGTTTCCTATGTATTTGCCGAACGTGAACGTTCGCGTCCGTTGTCACATGCGCGCGACAAACGTTATAGCCGATTTATAATTTTATTTTGATAATAACGAGATGTTTTATATATTTTCGAAGATGACGTTCAAGTAACACAACGTGTTGAGAATCACGAGTATTAAAATAAAATAAAATAAAATAAAAAAACCGAATGCAGGTGAAGTCGCTTTCTTCAGCGATCCGCGCGCACGGGAGCCGAGGACAATTTTCGCTCTGATTCGATCTCCGAGAGAACCGGATTTTTCCGGAAAAATAATGTCCGAAAAATAGAAATTAGAAACACAAGATATATTTATATAAACGATTTTATTGTTCATGCGTCTTGTTACCGCTAATTAGTTGCAAGCGCAAACTGACGAAGCAAAAAAATTAATTGGAAGCTCGCGATATCTTCCGCGCGACTACTGTTTTACTTAACACTTTTTTTTTACCCACTTTCCGTGCGCGCAGATTAAATAGTAGTAGCGTACTTTGCCGCGAAGACAAAAAAAAACAAAAAAAAAAAAACTACGGAGAAAACAGTATTATAGCCGTTACACTGCATTTCCACGTTGATTAATGCCAAAGTAATAAACGAGTGACTGAGATACGTGGCGCACGCGTGCGCGTGCACGTATACATGTGTGATATCTTTTATGACGTTCCACTAAATAACGATAGACAGTTACCTCTATCAGCAATTTGAGCGCACAACTGTTTCGAACTAGTTGCGTTTCCTGGGCGCGGTTAACAATGTTTCCTCTAACGTGTAAAACTTGATTGTGCGCGCGCTCGCGCGCAAATGAAAACTTTCAAATGATGTTGACTACATGTTTATACGCTGTTAGCAAGTGTTCCCGTCGAGACAGCACGTTTACGTACTCGCTAATTAGTGCGCCAATTACGCAAATAAGGAAATAATTTTTTATAGATATATTTTTCGTACTTCACTATTTGTAAAAAGAAAAAAACAACAAATCGCACTTGAAGTTCCTTAATTAAATACTTATGCAACGCACAAATATGTTCCGTTCATTTTGCTTTTGTCGTTGTGAGACGACTGTCTTGTATTTATTTGTAGACAATATTGTTATTTTATTTATTATATGTTTTTATTTATTCCTCCTTCGCTATATATTAATATATATATTTTTTTTTATTGTAGTTAAGAGGTTTCTGCCGAATTTTTCGCGTGCGACGTGTATGTGCCAAATTATATTGTTCCGACTTTATTCTCCTCCTTCTCCCGATATAAAAAATAAATAAATAAATAAATAAATCACAAACTATAATCAAAAAAAGTCTTTCTCGCTGAAAGAAAAGAGAAAAATCAAAAGTTCAAAAGCGTGCAACTCAGAGTGATCTCAAAAAAAACAAAAAAAAACGCGAACGAAAAGGATTTATTCGTGCCAAAGTAAACTCACGAGTCTTTGAGCGACTCGGTTTAAGCTAATTCGTATTTTAAGTATTCGTGCGCTTATATAGTGTGGTCGTGTTACGATTTTAAAATATAATAATAATAATGATGATGATGATGATGATGATGATGATGATAATAATAATAAAAACATGATATAGTGATATAATACGTAAGTGTCATTAAATAAAAATTGCCGCGTGTAAGAGATGTCGCGGTGTAGTTTGATTGATATAGCGATTGTACTGAATTCAGGCTGTACGTTAATTAGACTGTAAGCCAGAGGAAAATATTGACTTTGTTGGAAAAGTGTGTCAAAAATATATACATACGTGTATGGTATTCTGTATATTGGAAAAGAATTATACGTCCACATTTTTTACAATAGCGGTAATAGCAGAGCGTTTTAAAAGAAAATTATTAACCGAATATAACGGCTGACTGAGTGCAACGATAATAATGTTATTACGCCACTCTCTTTCTTGTTGCAGTCAGTAAATTTCGCCGATAAAATCGAACTACCGTTGAATGTTGTAGCAATAGCCTTAGACATAGTGCGAATTTGAGACTATACTCTTGTGCTGTTTAATACAAAAATAATAATTAAACAAGAAAGAAAAATGCTTAAGCGCAGGAAAACCAAAAGAACTGGGAGATTGATTCTAAACTGTGAATTAATTTATTTCACGAGTATTGAGATTGTTGGTAATTAACGCATCTAGCTCTGATCTAGCTCTGATTTCTGTCGCAATAATTTTTCCAACGTGAGCTACGCAAAAATTCTCGTGTTTTCGGCTAATTTTTATATGCCTTTGAAAACAAAGGATATAAAAATCAAATTGTTTACAATAACAGAAATAAGGAATAGAAAGAAGTCGAACTTATTCGAACTGAAACGCAATTGAAAAGCAATGCGTAACCAAGTATGTATTTCTGAATCATTTTTATGGCGCTGTTACATATGTAGACACAACAAAAAAAAAAAAAAAAAAAATTGCAGATGTACTCAAATGTACTTTTTGTAAAGTTCACGAACACACATCGTTCTATCGAACTTCCTCGAACTCAAATAGGATTGCACCTTGCAATCTTATT